AACTTATGTATTTTGTGCAAATGAACCCAACTTTTTAATTATAGACATTGAAATCATTACCTTCAAGTGTTTTGGCAGAAATAGTCCTATGACATACACCATCTAATTAATCGATAAATGTAAGTTCTTCATAAAGTGTTACGTGACCACAAATAATTTAATAAAGATTAAAAAAAAAAAGGAAAATACATTTTCAACGGAAATGTGAAAAAAATAAACAAATAATTCAATTTCTGGCAAACACAAGCAAAATATTTTACAGAAACTTGAGATATTCGTCTTATAGACAGGAACATGGCAAACATCTTTGGAAAAGGAAAATGAAATGGTAATTTTATTAGGAAACATGCTATGGATATTAGATACAAAGGAAACGCTTTCAGGCATACAACAGAAAATCCCAGGACAGGATAAATAGAAGGCTGAAGCAGAGTTAATGTAACCTAGTCAGCTCTTCTACTCTCTTCATTAATTCATCCACCGAAACACACATTGCCTTAGAAATCTCCTCCATCCAATTCCGGCCAAGATCCAGGAATGACTCAATCAAATCGCCATCCAAAAAGTTCTTAGCATCAGAAGTTTTCTTCTCATTGTAGAAAGACCTCCACTGCTCATGGCCTAGTCCTCCCACACCCTTTATCACTTTTCTGAGATTCGTTTGCAGTTTCTCCATGAAAACATACTGCTCGTAAGGAAGAGAAGCAATAACCCCGATAACACCATTGACAGTGCCAAAAATGACAGTTGGGATCTGGCCAATATCAGAATCTGCTAATCGCATTACAAGAGAACCATGTCTGAATCGATTAACAAATTCACCGAGGTGGTATTCACCAACCACCTCGAGACGTCCACGTTCCTCGTCAGTGGCACCTTCACTATTTTTCCGAACAGTAAAGAGGTTGAAATTATTTTCAGCACCGAGATAAATGTCATCATCTAGAATCTCGATGGCCGTCATCCAATTTGCGTTGTAATCACGAGCTCGCTCCTCAATGGCACCCTCCTCGTGCTACAGACAACAGCAAACCAAGAATATTAGAAAAATAGAGTAATAAATTGAATAGTTGTCCACAAACAGTTGGAGTGTACAAAGGTGGCAAAACAATATGATGTGTTTGATAAGGAGGACTTGATAATACTAAAATACTAAGGAAGAAAAAGAAGTTGAAATCTTGTTGATTACAGTATCAATATTGTCTAATACTGCATACCAAACATGTACTTAAAGGGTTAAAGAATAGCATAAATGCATCAAAAGCTAATCAAGAAGCACGCATCTGGAGATTTGACGTGTTTACCTTGTAAATTAACAGAGAGATTGATTTCATCAGATCCCCCACAATAATAAAATCCCCTCTAGTTTGCACATAAAGTGCAAGAATATGTCCATGATGTCCACATTCAGATTGCAATTCATGAGAGCCATCATCACGAAGCATCCATTTATACAATTGAATCTTCTGATTAATAGCAGCAAGCAGTTTCCCGTTGAAGGCATTAAGAGAGTAAACGGCTCCCTTGGTTTCTTTCTCCGCAATTAGTTGAAGTTTTCCATCTTCTACTGTAAAAACCAGTATCCTGCCCTGGAATTGTTTCAACATAAACAGAAGTTAACAATAGCCAAAGCAAAAAATATAACAGATATAGAGGAATTTCAAGTTGAAATGATTTATAACAAAATGTTGACAATTCTTAATTACAGCTGGGAAACTTGTAATATAGCTTACCTTGGTGGGCTCATTCTCCTCGGGCATTACGTATGCAGTCCCAACACAGTAGTACACGTTACTGTCATCAGAGAAGGAGCAGCTAAGAATGGAGCAACCGCACTCAAATTGGTCAAGTGGGTAAGTCGATATGAACTCAAAAGTTTGGTCATCTAACAGGCGGATAAAGTGCATTTCATAATCTTCTACATACTTTAAACTACAGATTGCGAAGCTCCGAGTCTGCTCCTGATGGCATATACGGCGTGCATGCTCCCCAAGTGGGATAGAGCGAATATGAAGCTTCTGAATGTCATCAATGGTGCCAATAGTCAACTCACCTTCTTTTGCAATTGCAAGGCTGTTGAAAAAGGAGAAATTCTTGTTAAAGCTTTCAACTATAAAAGATGGCAAAAATACTCACTCCATGGAGAATGATATGGGTTAATAACCAACCAAGACAGAGAGAATGGACATAAAATTGAATAAATGGTTCATAACAGAGTTCTTTAAATAGTCACAAAGGGTTTCTAGTGGATATTTCTCAGAACCTCATCTGGGTTGGGTTTAAATCCTATTAAATACTAAGAATCCACTATTAAAAGGCAAGCAAATAGTTACAATAGGAGCACCCGAGGGGCTCGTAAAAACATATCACTCCAGAGTCTGTATGAAAAGTTTGATTTTATTTTTAAAGTTGTAGAGAAGGTTTGCAGTAGTTGCATACAAATCAGAAGCTCATGGCTGAATGGATACAAGCCACAGCAATTGGGGACATATCCAGGTTCAAAATACTGCATGCAACTATGTCTAACACTGGAACACATCATTGCAAAATGATCTTAGAAAGGGCTAAAAACTTGAGAATCACCAAACTAAAGATCATTTGGAATTCAAACGGTTCGTATCTTGTAAAAAAGACCCAACTTCAACATTGCAAAATTGATTCATCTAGACAAGCAGATATTAATTCACCTATTTACGACAAGAAAACCCTAGCCATTCATAAAATGTTCTTCTAATCACATGTCGCTTAAGCAGGATGTTCATTAAGGGCTTGTTTGAGCCCCATTATTTACAAAAAATACATTTTGCAATAGTGTTATGATGGAGAACTTGTGGTTAAAAAATATGTAAGTCTTGGGTTTGCGTTTAATATTATTTTATTGAAGAATGTGTAGTTGCAATGGGTCAAATCACTGTTCAAGAATGTATTTTGATGGAAAAAATAGGGCTCAAACAAAGGCTAAAATAATATTTGATGCTAAACGGGGTAACATTTTTCATCCTAATTCCATGAGTTTTGCAAGCAAAGTTTTTTCTCCTTCCTGAAAGGAGGATCAAGACTACTAGAGAGATTTTCATTCGTAAAAATACGAAAACCAGCAAAGTTTCTTTTACAGCCCCAAAAAATGAAAACCTGCAATGAGGACTATGGCAGCCTATCTTGAATGTGCATATACAAAGTTCATATATGAAATTATGCGACTTCAGGAAATGATTTCGAGACATGAATACAGAATTACCCAGATAAGTTACAGAACCATGACAGAATTACCTGTCTGGAAAAGCAGCCGAGTTGAACGGGCACATGTGACTAACTTCTTTTAGATTTACATTGCTGTAAAGTAACTTTTTGTTACTACTGTAGATGACAGTTGGCCTATCGGACGCAGCAAAAACATGTGTGGCATTCTTAGATGAGAAAGTTCGAAGTGTCATAGGCTGGGTCCCAAGGGAGACTTTTTTCCTATCCGTTAGCTCACCAGTAATCACATTCAACACAAAGTTTATTAGATGACCATCTCCAAGAGCACATAGCAAGTAAGATATCTGAAATTAAAAAAGAACGAGTGCATGTTATTAAATGGTGCGAGAAACTTGGCACTAGTAAACACTGTTATTTTTAGCTCGCCGTCTACTTCTAAACCCAAACACTGCAGAGCAACACGTTCTAGTCCACTATCATCATGATTTCAAAGGAACTAATGCAACCCATGTGAATATATTGTCCATCATGATAAAAACTTTAACCTTATAGTTTATGCAACTGACACTCAGTTGAAAACTATTAGGTCAACTTAACCTCATTTTTCTTGGAGGGCAACACTGAATTATCATAATTCTATCAAGCACTCATGACTTGAGAGCTGGGAGTTTGACAGAGAACTTTAAGATGATAAAAGGCACTAAATAATTCTGCAGAGGAAACTTATTACAACTAGCTATCGTAATGATCTCAAGTTGAGTTTGATGGTGCTTTCAGAACAATTTCTGAAATTGATTCTGTTTACAAACTGTTAAAAATCCATTTAGGCAAGTTATCAAAGTGTAAACAAATGAGTTTAATGCACAGAAACTATAAAGTCCTTCATCTCAAAATTTTGTGCTCCCTGCAGCCAAACAAAGTTGGGTACTTTCAGAAATAGGAGAGACTGAAACACCAAAAAAGAAAAAGCCAAAAGAGTTAATTCACTGGTTTCAGAAAGTGTGAATTAATTCCAAAGAGCCTAAACTTCCGAATAAAATTAACCTATACAGATAGAAATCATAACAAGGTATACACATCATTACAAGACCAACAAGATCATGAACAGAACATACCCCATCAAAGGAACACAAAAGTACAGAACGAGGAATTATCTCCCCTCCCAAATGTTCCTTCGTAATCAGATTCAAGTCAGGGAGAGAAAATATCCTGACACTAATATCTGTCCACATTCCAACTGCTGCAAGTTGACTGTAGTTTGGATTATCACCAATTGAATTTATGTCTAGGCATGAGATGTCATACTCCAACTGGGCATGTTTTACTTCTGTCAGCACTCCATCACCAATTTCTAGATAAACTAAATAGCCACCCCCAGTAGCTAGTAAAACCTGTCAAACCAGAGATACACAAAGTAATTAATCACATTGAACAGGGTAAGGTAGACAGCACAAAAAAGGGGGACTAAATGGCAGCGTGAATGATGAAAAGTTCAGGCTCTTAAAATAAGGGAACGAACAATCAGAAGTCCCACAGAGTATCCCAGCATTGACATGTAAAACATATGCCTGTGCTATTTCAAATGGTAACTCTAGACATCATCTTATAGGAAAATTAAGACACTTGGATCTTCAGGTTATAAAAACCATCTAATGAACAAAATTTGCAACAGTCTTCAACATCATCTCAAAGACAGCACGCTGGATTGATGCACGTTTCAAAAAGTTATCAATAAAAAAAGTCCACAGGTAATTTGGCAATCAGAATTAGATTCATTCACGACTCAAGTTTTAGACAGTAATATTCGGCTACAAAATAAGCAACAATCAATATTTTCTGCTCAAAAGATTGGTAATCCTTAAAGGCACGTCTGGCACAGATTTTTCTAAAAAATCATTTTTCTCCAGAATCAATTTCAACCACATTCTCCAAAAAAAAAAAATTTCACTTAAAAAATCTGTGCCAAACAAGCTTTAAAGGAGTTCGTACTGCATTAAGGAGGCATGTCCATTGTATAAACAAATTAAACAAAACGGGAGAAATATTCTGTTCATGGTGATTGATAGATTGCATGTAGACTTAGCTCTTTGTCATCTATGAGGCAAATTACAAACTTTCGATCCTTCTGTCAGGAGAACCTCAAAGAAGATCAATTGTGAAGCACCAAAAGCTCCAGGGAATTATCATAACTACTTAATTATGTATTAGTTACTTGGAATAAGAGATTAGCAAAGGTTTTACATTGTTATAGATAGTTAGAGAGATATGGCAAGCGGCATCACACACCTACTCTAACGTGCAATTCTACAGGAACATTTTTTGTTAGCTGAAACTACACGATAGGATTTCATAGTGATTGTCAATCAGCATAAATTGAGGAAATCCTGGTACTTGATCTCTACAGAACATTCTCATGGTTTGTGTTGCAGGAGATTAGAATAAGCAAAAAAAAGAGCAGGAACAAATATTTGAGTCTTTTGGCTGGACGGTGACCTGAATTGAATAAATGGTAATAAAAGAAAGGCTGCAGATTCATTACACGCAAAAAGATGGCAGCTCTTAATTATGCCTTCTTTTAAAAATTTCAAACACACATTCTATGTGATAACTTTTCCCAACTTTTCAACCACACATTAACAAGCTTTAAAGGAGTTCGTACTGCACTAAGGAGGCATGTCCATTGTATAAACAAATTAAACAATGTAGACTTAGCTCTTTGTCATCTATGAGACAAATTTCAAACTTTCGATCCTTCTGTCGGTCAGGAGTACCTCAAAGAAGATCAATTGTGAAGCACCAAAAGTTGATGACTTATCTCCAGGGAATTATCATAACTTCTTAATTATGTGCTGTGAAGCACGGACACGCTACCAGCAGCGATGTATAGGTGTCCGATACGTGTCGGACACCGGTACGACTCCGACACGTTGCCGACGCATGTCAGAGCCCTTGCGGCATGTCAGAGACAATTAAAACAGACGGCTGGAAGAAAACAAGGCTGGAATGGCTGGAAGAAAACAGAAACATGGCCGGAAGAAGAGAAGGCTGACTTTGAGAAGAAAGGAAGAAAAAAAGAAAGGAAGAGAGGAAGAAAAGAAGACAGTGACCGAATCTGAGAAGAAAGGAAGAAAAGAAAAAATGAAGTGAGGAAGAAAAGAAGAAGTGATGGTTGACCTAAAAAGCTAAATCTAATTTTTAATTCAAATTTTTGGGCACAATTGACCAAACATTAAATGCTATGTAAAATATTTTTTTCTAGTAGGTAGTTAGAATTTTTTTTACAACTTTACCCTTCAACACAGCAAAAAGTTAATTTTTATGTGGATCAAATTTTTTATCATTTTATTTACCATTATATCCTCAGTAAAAAATAAAATTACAAAGGAAGTCAAAATTATGATGCAATAAGTATAAAAAAAATATTGAATTTAGACTATTAAATTAAAAAAATAAAAACTAATAATATTTTAATCAACGTGTCGACAACGTATCGTGTCGAAACCTTTTTAAAAAATCACGCGTCGACGTGTCTGTGTCGGTGCTTCTTAGATTATGTGTTGGTGGAACGAGAGATTAGAAAAGGTTTTACATGGTTATAGATAATTAAAAAGATATGGCAAGCAGCATCACCTACCTACTCTAACGAGCAATTCTGCAGAAACTTTTTTTATTTTTTTTTTAGCTGAAACTAAACAATAGGATTTCGTAGTGACTGTCAATCAGAATAAATTGAGGAAATCCTGGTACTTGATTTCTACAGAACATTCACATGGTTTGTGTTGCAGGTGATTAGGAAAAAAAACCGCAGGAACAAATATTTGAGTCTTCAGCTGGATGGTGACCTGAACTGAATAAATGGTAACAAAACAAAAGCTGCGAATTCATTACATGCAAAAAGATGGCATACTTTCTCATTAAACAAACCCTTTGGAATTGATCAGACTAAGTAATAAGGTAAAATGATAGCAGGAATTGAAAATCAACCTGTGTAGCATTAGCAGTAGCTACATTGATCGAATACCCTGCAGGAGCAACCCATTCATGACGCAGCTCTCTGGAGGTAGAACTGACCAATCTAACCGAGTTTGAAGTAACCTGCCAAGGGGATACAATAGCAGTTATCAGCTGCAGTGCTGATCTTTTGGAACATAAAAACTAAAAAGATAGCAAATGCAAGACTCACATATACAACTCACTCTTTATGACAACTCCAATAGTTTTAAGGTGTATGGATTTCAGAAGTCTAGTTACTCCTATCACTTAATAAGACCTCGAGGTCAAAAACACAAGCTTTCATACTGGTTTAGCATGCTTCATTTTTATCTCTTCCTTTTCTTGGTATGTTTTGGGGGGGGAGGGGGGGGGTGCTATGCAGACATTAATTCTTGATTTGCAAACAAGGTCGTGATTTTAATGGCCTTTTAAACATCTTATCTATCTTTCTTTTGGTCTTCACTGTAGGAGCTCGTGGCTATGCAGTTGAATTAAATAGGGGCCAGAGGGGTTTAGTAAATCCAAAGTTTCCCATGGCAAATTATAAGACACGTTCTCCCCCTCACTTCATCCAATTCCTTGCTCAAACCTGCCAAAAATTCAAAGACACTTTCTTCTCTCCAATTTCTATCGCAAGAACTATCTCCAGCACACTCGCATTCACATTCAATAAGGATATCTAATTGATTCCAGTAACCCTTTAAAAGTGTTTTACCCGTTTTAGTGTTGCAATATGTAGTCACACTGCCATTCCCTTGTTTGGTAAAACAAAATTTGGTCCTAATCCCAGAGACCTGTGCTAAATTCCCCATATTAGAGTATGTTTCTACAGATGCATTCCATAATTCCTTTGTTGTTTGTAATAACTAGTTTGCCTGGTTCTCCGAGTTCATAAAGTTTATTACTCATTACATATTCATAACTTGTGAGTCTGAAATCTGCAAATGTTGGATTCTTGCCACGCCTTGTCCAGACTCCAGATACAAAAGATATGGGTGTGGCGGAGAAAGAAGGCGTGGCAGGAATTGAGTCATAACCCTCCAACAGTGGTTGCTTCAGTCAAGCACCATGACTCAACACGAGCATTACCACTACTGTTCAATATATAAGTTTTTTCCATAAAAAGTACAAATCCATGAAAAAGAATAGATACAGAGCGATACTAAACTAGGAAAACTACTCTACACAATCAATCAAATTTTAGACCCTGCAATCCGTTGCAAGAACCCTAATTATAGTTTTACACAAATAAAGTTTTCAACAGCTAACCACTAAAGACAAACAGATTGATGAAGCTAATTAGGTACAGTGATTCCCCTTATTAGGAATCATGACACCATGGCATAAACCATAATTTCAGACAGTTCACCAACACAATCATACCTGGACAAGTTGATCATATATAGCATCATGGCAAAACAAAGTCTGGACTTGTGAACAAAATCCTTCTATCTCAGTTTCCTCCAACTCATCCTCAAGATTCATTGCCAAAATACGCGTCTCGCTGATAAAGCTTACAACCAAGAAGGTGTCATATTGATCATCAGTAGCTGATCTTAATGACCACATGCCTTTGATTCCTTGAAGTTCTACAGATGCCTATGGAAGATTATGCCAAGAAGACAGATTGTTAAAGGAATTACAGCAAGATGAAATTTATCAAATATATCACCAGTACCAGACCTGTTCATTAATACCAATTCCATTTCGAACAATGCGAAGAGAACCATCTTTATATGCTCCCGAGCAGGTTACAACCTGACCTTGACCCTGCCTCTCTAAGTCAACCACACAGAAGTCAACAATGGGTCCCAAATTGACGTACCTTTCCATAACTTCTACATAAGAACCTTTTTCATCGGGCTGAAGATTGAGCCTTATAAGCTGGAATATTAGAGAACAAATATATACACTTTAGAGTCTATAAATCAAAAGACAAATGATTCCATTATAATGAATCTGAAACAATAATGGGACAGGAGTTTGAGTATAATGGACCAGAAATTATAAGGGGAGAAGTTTTGTTGTAGAAGTACTCAAACACAACGAACATGAGAATAACATGAGAGACGTTTTCAGTAAAAGGACAACAGTTGGTGTGGGTGTGGGTGTGGGTAATAGTTTATATAGGAAAATATGCACTTCAGAGGCCTTCTGGTTTTCATTTTGAGCATGATGTTATATTTGGCAATAGAACAAATAAGCTCTCAGATAAACACATGAATTAATGCAAGAAGTATTTCAGATTACAGCTTTCTTTTCACTGAAGACAGTAAGTAAAACAGTAAAATATTTTATACAGCATGAGAGAACCATCACATGTGACACGGTAAAATGATTTACAGTTAAAGGACAGCAGTAAAACAAACATGCAAGCCATTGCAGAACTGCATTGACAAATGAATTGTCAATTCAATAGTTGATCTTCTTCTCCACTATCATTTGCAAGCAATAAATCAACATGGAAAATTGAAAGAAAAATATTTGCTCAGAAATATTAGGAAATCTAATTGGAAGGTAATATGTGATAAATATTTTACCATTAAAGCAAAAGTTTTTTGATGTGAAGAAGAATACATAGCTTTAGACAATACTAGGTCCACAAATACACAACTGAAATGGAAAATGGTATTATAAGTTAATATGTCAAAGCAAACCATAAGAAAGCACAAAACAACTTGGCCGACAAATTGGGAAAAAACCAATCCTGTCATTGAGTTAATTGTTTGATCACAAGCCATATAATCACATATCTATCATAAATTGGATAAAGTAAAAAGAATGCAACTCAGAAGGAGATACGTACACTCAGACATACTAAACTCATAAGCATAATAATAATAATTTGTTTGCATCCTACATCTCAAGAGTTTGCAAATATTGAATCAAAGTCACATTTCATGTAGCTTTCACAATGACAATATACTATCTTATATGCAAAGTAACACGTCACAGGAGGAATTCTGCAGCAGCAAATGCTAGTCACAATATGGGTTCCAACGAAGCCAATTTAGGCTTTGTTTGGGAGGGATTAGATTTTTCTACAGTAAATCAATTCTCATTTTCAACCACACATTCTTCAATAAAGTAATATTTTTATCACATCAATAATTTTTTCTTCTTTTTCAACCACACATTTCCCATCATATCACTATTTGAAATCAATTCTTCCCCCAAAAATCTCTCCCAAACATGCTCTTAGTCATTAGTAAGGCCGAAGTTAACGAGGGTGCTACCGTGAAGAAATTCAAACCTCGAGCTCGAGGACGTAGTTATCTGATAAAAGACCTACCTGTCATATAACTATTGGAGTGAAAGTTGCGATATCTCATACAAACCTGTGAATCCCCATAGCTTGAGCCAACATAAACAATGCCACTGTCAAGATATGAGATAGTTGACGCAATAGATGTTTCCCCCAAAAGCTCGATCTTGAGTCCCGTTACTCTAGAAGATTGTAGAAGAAAAATGCGTCAGGCAAATTAAGTAGTAAATGCATACAGATACATTTTAAAGAATTTCCACTCTCCCAAGAAACAAAATTAAGCTACTTCTAATAACGAAATGGATCAGCAGAATTCAAACTCACTTCTCTTTTTCATGGGTTATAACAAGTAGGTGAAGAAGACCACTATGGTCCCCCAGTAGGTAGCGAGAACCATTGGCATCAATCATCCCATAAGCTTTTGTGATAGACTTTAAAGAGAGGATCATGAACCACAGTCAGGAATATGAAGACCAAATAATAGGAAAATACAGAGTTAGCAGCAGTCATATGTGACCTACAGGTCTGATGGGGATTGCTTTAAAAGCTGAGGCACTACAGTACACAATGGTTTCTTCTCCAATAATTAAGACACCGCAAAGTGGAGGAGGTACTGGTATTAGCAACTCTGCCCCATTATCAAGATTGTTCTGAGACCATGGACCCTCAATAAAATCTTTATCCCTCAAAGCCACCTCGTATGTTTGAACATGACGGGCATCCCTGTTATCCTGCCAATCATAAGGTTGAAATGACAAGTTGGCACGTGCCCTAAAGGAATCGAGAAACAATCCCAACCTAACACACGCAAGTATAAATTATATATTTTTTATATTGGATACACACTCAAAAGTGAAATCAAGAAAAGGTTTCAAAGAATTTATAAATATATAAAAAGCAAATAGTCAATGGTTTTAAGGCAACAAAGATGATTCGCTATGTGATTATGGAAGGAAAACATAACTTATATCTCGAAATTTTAATAATAAAAAATTGTTCACGTAACTGAATCAGAACCTGGTAAAGTACAACAATTGTAGGCGTCGGACAACCATGTAGAAATTTGATATCCAAAACTTGAAGCTCCTCAAGCCTGAAGAAGCCACCAACCATAGCAAAAGTCAGAGTAAATACTACGGAAGGCCTTTCAAGTAGACAACATAACTAAATATAAAACCTGCACCATATAAGTCCTAGTTTCAGATTAAAAGTTTTTTATTAAAAATTCGAGACAACTAGAAGCGATCAACATCATGTTTCCATTGCCAACATACAAGAAAAGAAAACTAGTAAGAGTTCCACCACCAACACAAAAGGCAAAAGTTTACTCCAAATCATCATATCACAATTTTTTTTTAATATTACTTTTTGCAAGAGGTTCTTATGGAATATAGCCCTCAACCAGACATCCTACTAATGACTATCAGTGAAAGTAATCATAAGTACGCATCTATAATGCGATATCCAGATCTGCAAAAATCCAATTATGAAGCTAACGCCTTGCAAGAACCCCCAAAGATATGCAAAGCATTTTAAAGTGTATACCTAGAGGGCATCTTCTTACTATGTGCATTAGAATCATTCACTCTATGCCGCACAGTTCTTAGAAAATCTCGTTTACTGACTACATAAACTAAGAGCTCTCGTGATACAGTAATTGGTGTTTTAATGGACAAAATAACATCTTACTCCATACAGTTCCCAGCAGAATTGAGTATTTTACCCCCAAAAAAACCCAGAAGCAGCTTGTTGCTTCTTCCAACTCGCCTCTGCTGGTCACCTCTCCACATGTATAACAATCTTCATTTCTTGCTTCATTCATTATCCATTTTCCCTGGAACAGGGTCACCAACAATTTAACTGTATCTAGGATTCGCAACCTTTTACAACTTTAAAAATAGTCTTTAGCATATTTCAACAAGAAGATAACATCTAGGGGACTGGAGAATGGAACAATAATCCAAAAAATCTAAGCTCGTCCACTTATTTCCTCTTAGTTGAAGGTAAACAAAACTCGTTGATTTCACAGGAAAAGAGCCAACACTCGAATTTCTAAGAATCACAGGAAGGGGAAAAAATGTACAGCCAATTCCCCAAGTACATTGCCAGAGCTTGATATATTGCATAAAATTTACTAGGAAAAAGTACCGAATGTTAAATGCTTCCTTGAGCTGGCCTTTCTTGTCAAATGGAATAACCTGGCAAACAAGTGGAGATGCTCATGATATGCTGGAAATAAAACTAATGAGAGGACCAAAAATAAAAGCTCAGAAGAATGAAAAGAAGGATCCTGTGAAATTAGAACTGTGCAGGGTCCAATACCTTAAATAATCCATCATAGAGATGGAGTCCAATCAATCTGCAGTCAGGATCAATTATGCCAATCTATAGAAAACCAAAAGCAGAAATAAGAAAATATCACTAGATGAATATAAAACCACAAAGTTGAATATTAACATTCCTGCACGCCCAAACTGAAAAATTTCAGAGAATTATAAAACTACCTGCCCATTGTCCGTCGGGCGCCCTATTCGATCCGAAACATCTCCCATTGCTCTATATATATCAGAAGGCACCAAAACATAAAGCAAATGAATTCTTCAGCTTAACAAAGAGAGTGATGATAATAAGATCAATACCTGCAGCAACATCAACAATATGATATTCTAATGTGATGTATATATCATGGAAGTAATTTATAAATGTAGATCAATAATATTTGGATAATAAACAGATATCCTATCAAAAATGACTGGTGCTCGAAGTAACGTATCTTGCTTCTAGCTTTTAATGTCAGAAGTAAATTCCTCACATATTACTTGAGCAAAGATTTGTCCTCTATATAATAAACAAAGGCATGATCAATTATGATTGTGAAACCAACTATTTGTCTCTCTAATTTCACCACTTTGCACAGACAAGACGTGCATCTCTTTCTAAACGCATAAAACATCAACAAAGCATTAATGAGACCAAAAAGATAATTATTCAGTTACCAAACGAAGCACGGATTCAGACCTTGTAATAACCTCAGCTGCCTCAGCATCCCATTGCAAAACACAGAATTTATATCTTTCTGTTGCAACAAAAAGAAGGTCTTGTGTTTCTCCCTGCCCAATTACAAAGTAAAAATCTTTGTCAATGACTTTATTGATGCAGACATGACAAAAATGTCACTAAATAACTTCTCAAATCAAACAGATAGTAATACAAAATTTAAATATTTCAGTTGAGTACTCACTTGTGGACGGAAAAGCTGAAGTGTAGCAATTCTTCCATATATTGGCACATCCAACATAGCCTGCAAAGTTAGAATTTGCATTGCAATTACAAGTTCCAAAAAGCTTAATGATGTGATAAGGAAGAGTAATGTATTGAAAAGAAAAAAATTGGTAAATAACTCATGCAACTTGACAGAAAAATTGCTGCACCTGTAAACCTTGACTGGCGACTGAATGAATCTCTAGTCGGGTGCATTTCCTGCAAACAAATAGAATTATTGACGAGTTTCAAAAAAACAAACCCTGAAAATTATAAATTCGTGCAGAAAAACAATCCCTGGAAGCTTGAACGTTGCATTCAGATATCAGTATCACAATCTTTGTCGCATAAACAATCTCACAGAGTCTTGAAATTACTTTTCCTATAATGGCGTTCACAGAGGTCTTACCGACCTCACACGAGGTGGGTCCCACGTCGGACCGACCTGATTAAAAAATGGTTCAAATTTTTCCCGCCCTCCCGTTGTGTGTGGTCTGTAGAGGTTCCGTGAAGCAGAACCTCTGTACATGCAGAGCCAAAAAATTCTAATTGCTTGATTGCTAAATGGCTCAGTAGGATAGGCAAACTAAAGTCGGCAAATTTTGAGAAAATTTTGAAAAGAAAAAAAAAATAAAGCAAAATCTGATAACAGCAAATAAATAAATGCAGATAAAGAGAATTATTGAAAGAAAGGTTGCACTGAGTTAGAGTACAGAGAGCAAAAGGGCTTACGCAATGATGAGATTGCACTCTTGCGGACCGGTGAAATAACCAACGCACGAATGCGTGACGTTCGTTGGCTTGTGAGCTGTCACCACATAGTTCCATATACTCATCTCTATTTTACTCTGTGTATATATATGTATCTATCTATGTATCAATAGATAGCTCTCCTCTCTCTCTCGATTGGAAAACCCTAGATTCTCCTCACTCTCGCAGAGAGTGTGGGTATCGGCGGAAATGGTTTGAGAGAACAGAACGACGTCGTTGCTCAACTGGCAGGAAAGAGTAAAGGTATCGAAAGATGTGTGGCGGGCTCAGGAGTTGGGATTCAATAATGAAAGTTTTGGTCTATTAAAGACGCAACATGGGCTGATCCAAAGTGAACTTAGATGGACAGCCAAGCCCTGAACCTTTTTGAATAACAAACTAAAATGGGCCGGCCTAAAGAAAGTGGGTTAGTGGGCAGAACCGTTGGAAATAGGAATCATGTTAGGGAAATTATAAAAAGTCAGGGGTTTAAATATTGCTTTTTAAAATTCAGGTCTAATGTTTATTTGTTCAAAAATCAGGTAAATAAAAGCCCTAATTCACAACCCTAATTCACTAATTCTCCACTCTGTTTCTCTCGTCTCTCGTCTCTCTCACAGCGCTCTCTCTCTATCACTCCCTGAAGCGGCGCTGTTGTGGCCGGTCGAACGAAGGTGTTGCATCGGCCTACGACGCTTCAGCATCGAGGCTGCTGAGAAGGCAATCGCTCATCAGCCATTAGCCGTGACGGCAATCGCCCATCAGTCGTGATGGCAATAGCAGGCAATCGCTCTAAGGTGGTGTGGTGGTAAGGTGGCGATTGGGTGTGTGTATACTGTGGGTGTGTGTGCAATGGAGTTGTGGTGGTGGTGTTGCGTCGAGGTCTGGTGGTGGTGCTGCGTCGAGGTGTAGTGGTGGTGGTGTTGATCCTGGTTGTGGTGGCGGTGCCGGATTTTTGGTTTTTTTTTGTTTATGTTTGTAAGTGTCAGATTGGAGACGATGTTGGTGGCGGTTGGGTGCTGGTGGTTTTGAAGTTGGCTGCGGGTGGTGGTGGTGGTGAGGTGGCGATTGGGTGTGTGTGTGTACTGTGGGTGTGTGTGCAATGGAGTTGTGGTGGTGGTGGTGTTGCGTGGAGGTGTGGTGGCAATGCCGGATTTTTGGTTTTTTTTTGTTTATGTTTGTAAGTGTCAGATTGGAGACGGTGTTGGTGGCGGTTGGGTGCTGGTGGTTGTGCAGTTTGCTGCGGGTGGTGGTGGTGTTGTGTGCGGCGAAGATTCTGTGGTTGTAACTGTGGTGTCGGATCTGGTGGTTTTTTGTGGTGGTGATGTTGGTCGTGGTGGTTGTCGTGAGGTCGTGGTGGTGGTCGTGGCGATGGTGCAGAGGTGGTGCTGGTGGATC